CGGAGCAGCAGCAGCCAAGTCCAGAGCAACTAGGTCGGGAGCGGCAGTGACCAGACCCGGAGCAGCTGGTTGTGGAATGAACCAGAGCAACAGAGGCCAGGCCCTGAGCAGCCAGGCCCAGAACAGCTCGCTCCCTGCCTGCCCCTGCCCCACGGCTGCTTCTCAGACATGGCTGGAAACTTTCGTGGGAACTTGAGGGTCTGCTGAATCAAGTGATGAAGGCTTAGATCTGGATGTGTTGAGTTAGTTTAGGACTGGGGTGTTGATCTGTGAGTGCCTTGGGTGGGGCCTGGATGAGGCTGGTTGACCTAGTGGGAAATGTCTTTTGTGTGAAGTGTATCATTGGGCATGTGGAGGTATTATTGATATGAGAAAATGCTAAGTAACTGATTTACTATCTGAAAAGGGATTTACTATTGGGGAAATTGAGGGAAGAAGAGACTGAACATAAACTGCACCTATGGATGAGGACAATGGGGGATGGGGGGGGACGGAGAGTGGGGTGGGAACCTGGTGGAGGGGGGAAGAAATGAGGAACCTTTGTAATAATATGAACAATAAAGATTGATTTAAAAAAAAAAAAAAGAAAGAAATCTCGTCGCTTCCTTACCAGTAGGCCTCAGGGATCCCCTGCTCCCCACCCTGGTTCCCTTGACCTTGAAGGGTTTCAGAGTTTTCTTGTCTACTCGGCTAGCATTGTAAGTTCTACGAAAGCCCAGGCCCCTGGCCAGGAAAACTCTGTTCTACTCCATGTGAAAGGATATGGGGGTTGACAGATCAGTCTCACAGCCATTAGCCACCTCAAATTTCCCCATTCATTCTTTCCTCATTTTACCTCGGTACCCTGCCAGGGCTACTGTGCAACCCCTCATAAAACCCAGTTGTCTCAAACCACAGTCACCTACCTCAGTTTTACTCTCTCCAGCCATTCTTATGACTGTATCTCCTCTATATCTAGGAAGAATGCAGGCAGTTTAAAAACTCCAGGGCCTGGCTAACCTGGAAACGGCTGAGGAGCCTCCTCCCTCCCCCGCCTCCTTCCCCTTTTTGAAGCAAGAAAGTGAGGCTTCAGTCTCCAAGTCTGACAGGACAAGGTTTCTGGATACTTCTTAAGCTAAACCAGACTATTCACAGTCTCTAACATCTTATCCAACCATCCAGGTCCCTGGCTTTCACTACTCCTCTCCTTCCCCTTTCCCTCACACTTTCATAGTCTCAATCACTCATCTGTCACCTCTTATTGGTAGCGTCATGGTAACTACTCTCTCAGCTTGGAGTGTGGAACTAGAAAAAAGAATCTCATACCCTGTAGTCCACCTCTTCTCCTTACACCTATCAGCTTGTCTCCATCATCAGGGATTTTTCTTCCTCTGTGGGGAAAACTCATACATCTGTCTCCTTATCAGCTGGATAGGAACCTGTACTCTAATCTATCTCTCACCCAACGTAGATGAAGCCTCAATAATCAGTTTTTACCTGACCCCATAACCACTGCTCTACCTACTTTGAAACCCTGTCTCAGGAGCTACAAGAAACATGCGGATGCCCAGCAAGGGGCAAAACTGGAAAAACAAGAACCTACTTCCAATGCTAACCTATTCTCCCCTTTCATATCACTAGTGAGGCAATTAAGACCCCTACTCTTTTCCCCATAAAAATAACATCTAGGTCTCAGTTATCTTTCAGCTCTAGATCTGTCTCCCACTCACCTGGACAATCCTGCCTCAGGGGTTCAGAGACAGTCACCTGTTTGGCCAGGCCTTACCCAGAGACCTCCAAGAATGCTTGTTAGAACCCAGCACTACACGTCTCAGAGGCATACAGCTGGCCTCCACTGGTAGGATTTCTCCATCATTGGACCCCAAATTTTTCTCCTAGCTAAGCCCTTATACCAGGTCTTCTCACCCTCCCTTGTTTGCCAAGCTTTCTCTAACTCCAGGACACCCTTCTGGTTTCTCTCTCTCTCTCTCTCTCTCTCTCTCTCTCTCTCTCTCTCTCTCTCTCTCTCTCTCCTCTCAGACATCTCTAATAGCCTACCTGTCCTGACAGCTTGATCCCATTTGGGGACTGCAACCCTGCCTCTGGGCTCTGGCTGCAGCCGCTGTTCTCATCAAGGAGGCCCAGAAGATCTGCCTCCAGCAACCCTTACAGGTCTTTTCAACCCATAGACTACAGGATCTTCTGTCACACCGATCCTTATCTCTCCTTGCCCCCTCTCACATGCAGGAACTCCATCTCCTGTTCCTCAAGAGTTCTGACAGCTCCCTAACCCAATCCCCAGTCCTGAACTCAGCCACTTTCTTTCCTGATGACTCTACCCAAACTACAGCAAAGCACTCCTGCCCCGAGGTCATCAGAGGCCCTCACTGAACCTCGGACGGGACTCTCAGATCTCTCTAATCCTGATTTAACTCTGTTTGTGGATGGAAGCTTGTATCTAGACCCTCAGGAACGTCAGAAAGCCATCTATGCGATTGTAACACTGGAATGGACCCTGGAGATGGCCTTCATCACTCTTCACCTCGTCCACACTGCGAGAGGTAGTCATGAGTGCCTGCTCTTCCTGCTCCATGTGTGCAGCTATCTCATCCCAGGGAGGAATGCACCCCAACTTTCCTACCCATCAAATGAAGGGGACACCTCCCAGGGCAGGACTGGCAGGTAGACTTCACCCTTATGCCTCTCCCACAAGAAGACCAAATACCTGTTCACCATGGTAGACACCCTGACAGGGTGGGTAGAGGCCTTCCCTACTTGAAAGGAAACTGCTGAGGTTGTGGCTGAGATCTTGATAACACACATAATCTCTGGCATCTCCTGGAAACTGCACATATCCTACCACCCACATTCATTGGGTAAGATCCAGAGGAGCAACGGCTTCCTTAAAGACCACCTAACTAAAACTCTCTTTCTCTAAAAATTTACAGCTTCTGGCCGGACCTTCTGCCCATGGTCCTGACTGGAATCCAGGCTACACCAAGGAGCCCCACTTTTTTACCTCCCCAAGAATCTTACCCCCCAGGTTGTCTTTCAGCTCCAGGCCCAGAAAAGCAGCAAAACCAAGCAAGTGATGCCATGGCAGCCTCAGGATCAGCTTTTACCTCCCAAGTGACTCAACAGGATCGCTCTCAAGATGTCACCAACCAGTACCTTGGGGAAATCATGCTGCTGCACCCCTCATCCAGCACGGAAAATACTACCTGTTTTTTGCTCACATACCCCATGGCTCCTTCCACTATTAGGCCCACTGGTATCTATATGCTTAATCTTGCTCTTTGGCCCATGTCTCATGTGTTGTTTCACTAGTTTCTTGCAGAATAGAATGCAGGCCTTCACCAACCAGAAGGTGGGAGAGATCTGGCACTGAATTCAGAACCAAACACCAGAATCTTTGAGACCCCGGGTAGATGCCCCTAAGAGACTATGCCCCTTCTCAGCTGGAAGTAGATATGGAAGACTGACCTTCGCCCCCTGACCTTGCCCAGACTCTCAATTTTTTAAAAATATTACCAGAAGCCTGGAATGATAGATCCTCCCTTTCTCCAGTTGATGGACAGACGTAAACTCCACCTGCAGCCAGACATTCCTGAGCTCTGAACCACCAATCAGCACCTGCCAAATACCTAATCACCAATCAGTGTGTGCTGAGTGCCCTAAGCCCTGCCCCCTATCCTTAAAGGTGCTTGTACGACCCTTGCTCGCTCTCTTCTGCTCCTCTCCATGGAAGCAGCCGGCAGGGGTACCCTTCCCTCCAATAAAGTTTGTGTGTGTCCTGCCATCCTGGTCTCCAGTCTACCTTCTCTATTTAATCTATCCAGTTGCCAGTGGATAGCAGAAAAAGGACCATGGCCAGTCATTTTCAAAGGAAAACTCAGACAACCAGTTAACTGCTACAGTCTAGAAACTACTGTCCTGGGATTCTGTGATATATTGATAAGTAGACAAGGTGCTGGCAGATATATCTCAAGAAAATGAATTAGGAGTGTCTCTAATCTTGGGGAATTCTAGCCTTAACCAAAAGTGAATCATGTAAACAGGTGAATGTGTTGGGGGACAGGCTAAAGAATCAGGATATTGATTTAAAGAAGGTGGAGACAGGGTTTGAAGGAAAGGAAGTAGTAGAGGACAGATATAGGGAGAAGCCTAATTCTGAAGAAAATGAAATTGAGCAAGGATGAGGAGGAAATACGATGGGAAAAAGGCCAACACCCCCCTCCAAGCTATCAGGAGAGTCCTACAGAAGATAATGGATGAAGTGTTGAAGGCAGTTTAGCCAAGCCAAAATAAAAAAGTTTCAGAGGGACATGGGTTTTCCAGATCTCTGAAGAGTTGTTACAGACAGAAGGGAATTTGTGTGGCCCCAGGGAGCAGATGTGAGATTCGCAGGCAGAGGACGCAGAAAAAAAGAGTTCAGATACAAACAGGAAGAAATTTCAAAGTCAGAACTGTCTAGAAAGGGAACAAGAACTTTTGATAGGTAGCGAGATCACCATCAATGGAAAGTTGCAGTCAGAGGCTGCTGAAATCTCTGCCAGGGTGCGGCCCAGTGTTGGGAGTTCCTTTGGATGGCTCGGATACTTGGGTCTAAGGGCTGTGAAGGGGATGGGAGAGGAGCAGGGTGGGGTTGGGTGGGGGATGGGCATCCCTCCCTTGGGAAGCCCAAGCCCAGCCCGGCCTCCAAGTGGTCGTTGTGGCTGGCTAGGTCGAAGTGGCGGGCTAGGGCGGGGCCAGGCGGCCGGCAGGGAGGCGGGCGCAAGGGCGGGGAGCAGCACGGAAGCCCGGTCACGTAAAGGAGCGGGCACAACGGGGGCGGCTCTTTCCTGGGTGGGGTTTGTGAAGTCGTGGCCCGTTAGCAGGAAGCTGAGCAGTTGCCCCGAGGCTACCGAGGGACTCAATCCGAGCCCCCAGTCCCCAGAGTGCGAGCCCTGTGTACTGCGCGTTCAACGCTGTCCTACAGCTCCCAGCCAAACTTTGCCAACTCAACCGCCTTTGCCGTCACCATGCCCAAGACGGTGAGTGCGGGGGGTGGGCGCTGCTGGCCCCAGAGGCTCTAGCTGACCCTTGTAGCCCCTCGCTGATAGCTGGAAGGGGGTTTGGCCAGCCACCCGCCTGTTCGGGATGCCGCGCCCTCAACCCAGGCCTGGATTGGGGAGGGGTGGGAGTGGAGATCTGGTATGTCGCGCCCTCGTGTGGGGGTGGGGGGTTAGGTGGTCCCGGACTAGAAGCGTGGACTGGGCGGGTTGGCCTGGTTTTTATAGACTCCAGTTCCCTGCTTCTGGGATGCGACAGTAGGGAATGCTTCCTGGGGGCCCAAGTTCTCCTTTTGTCCCTGACAGGCCAAGAGAGTGGGGGAAAAAGACTGGTCCAGAGAACACGTCCCCCAGTCCAGGAATTGGACCTTCTGGGCGAGGCTGCCACTGTATAGGAGGGGCCCTGGGAACTGAGAAGCAAGGAGGAGGGAGATGTTAAGGGTGGATCCCCGCACCGGCACTCATCTTTCCCATAGACTCCCCAGGCAGCCTCAGCTGTTTCCCACTAGTAGGGGAGGATAGAGTTGTGGAGGAACTCTTGGAGGCTGCTGGATTTTACGCAGTAGTCATAACACTTCACTACGCACCAGCCTGAGGGCTGGAGGTCTGCCCAATTCCTAGGGGAAAAGAAGACTGGTTGCTTCCTCCTCCCCAAATCCCCGCCCTTCCCATTATTTAATGGCTCTCTAGCTCTTCCTTTCCCCTCTGGACTGTTCTGTGTAGATTATTCCCTCCTGGGGGGTCACACCTTTCTAGAGCGGTGGTAGCTTCTAGGATCTGGTCTCCATCCCACTGGTTATGAAAAGAACTGAAGCCTCTTGGGAGTGGGGCCTAAGGGGGCCGGATGCCCAGAAGGGAGGAGCAGATGAGGAGTCTGTCTGAATAATGAGCCCTGCTTGCTTTTGTGCAAGTCATGACAAATGGCTGCTGGGGCCCTTCCCTTGCTCAGGAAGGCCTGTTGACCACCCTAGTTTGAGTCCCTTAGGCCAAGCAGCTTGTTGGGCTGACCTAGCCTATGCAGTTTCTCCTGGAACCCTCTTCCTAGGACTGCCTGAAGCTGAGATAGTGACTAGTAGCCTTGAGAATGGCTAGGGGTCTCTGGATGAGAGGGGCTAGGGGGGTATAGCTCATCGGGTGTGTGCTGAGCTTTGGTTGCCACGTTGCTGTATTCCAGACTTACTGCCAAGTCATTCTTGCCCTTACTAAACCCTGTCCTTCAAAAACACTAAGTTTTCAACAAGTATGTAATTCTATTGGTGGTAGCAGGAATGGCACCAGGTGTTAGACCAGTGGGGTCAGATCAGACCTGGTTTCAGCAACCTCCTCAGCTGAAACCCTTGAGTTCTGGCTAAGAAAGTATTCAGAGCCAAGACTCAAACTATGAGACCATTTATTTATAAAATCATAGAGGTAAAAGAAGTAATTTATAGAAGACATGGGCCTAGGAAATAAGTTATAGAGGCAAAGGAAGGGCCCGTGGAACTTAGAAGTTAGGAAGGTAAAGGTGATGCACCTGGGGAATGGGGAGGGGGAAGGCAAAGGCAAAGAAAGACAAAGGCAAAGATGTGGGTGTGCTCCCCAAAGAGACAGCTACTGGATCCTCCATCCCACATCCCTTGGCGGGAGGTTGTGGGGGGAAGGGGAAGGGGAATAGAGATTTTAGAGGAGGTCCTAGGGAAAGATCTCATTAGAATATTCAGCAGTTTTCCAGGTGTGTCTTTTCAGGATCTAGTTCCTGAGGTCAGCCTTGGCTGGTTTTATTGCTTTTCTGAGCCTGGAGCTGAAATACAACTGGGGCCTAGATGTTATTTCTAGGGAGGAAAGATCAGGGGGTGCAAATGTAATGACCAGCATATATGCTAGGGGAGGAAAGGTCAGGGGGTGCAAATGTAATGGCCAGCATATATGCTAGGGGAGGAAAGGTCACTTAAGGACGAGGTCCCACCCTACAGTTGTCTGTTGCTAGGCTTCCAGGGCTTTTCACTCTGGTGATTTAATGTACCTAGCCCACCGTCCTTGCTCTTCTCATGTCTAATTGCCTACCACAGTTCTGCTATTTCTCTCTCTTAAATTGCTTGTGGTTTTATGACATCTGGCTTTTTCACACTTGCCCTCCCACTACACTCAAAGTGAGAGAGAATGGTTTTGAAAAGAGAGGGGGAAATATACCATTGCCTCTGTGAAGACAGAGGATTATAAAGAACCTTCCAGAAGCTTCTTCTTAGGTTTATCTCTCTGTGGGTTGACTCCTTGAATCCTTTTAAGGTGTGACTGCCTAAATAGGTGGGTGGATCTCTGAGAATAGATTGTCCCATTACCTCCCTTCTCTAGAGGCATTTCTCATTATTTTTATAATAATTATTTTCATTGATTTCAGAGAGGAAGGGACAGGGAGAAATAGAAACATCTGTGATGAGGAAGAAACATTGGTCAGCTATCTCCTGTACATCCCCTATTGGGGATCGAGCCTGCAACCCCAGCACGTGCCCTTGACTAGAATAGAATAATCTGCAGGCCGATGCTCTATCCACTGAGCCAAACCAGCCAGGGCCATTTCTCATTTTTAAATCTGCAATATATTACATTGAAACACAACTTGATGGATCTAGAAATTGTCTCAAAGTGGCCTTTAACCATTCCATCCTTAGGCAAAAGGATGAATAGGAGCTGTTTGAGGTCAAGCCTATGGTACTGAACATACCTGAATACTGAAGGCATTTTTATACAGATTGACTAAAACTTGAATCAGGCTAGAAGGAGAGGACTGAATTTTGATGGACTGGATGATTTGGATAATTTTTCATACCGTTTTGCTCAAGGAATGGTCAACTTCTAGGGGAAACAACTATATCATGCCTGTGAAGACCATAGACTCTTAACTTGAGAGGGATCTCAGCAACTATCTAATATCACTCTATCTCTCAACTAATGAGGTTATTTAGGTCTACATGAACGAACCTACCTTGGGGTCCAGGCTTTGTGATGCTGATCACATTGATCTTCTACTCTGACTCAATGACTAGGTTCTTGAAGTTGAGTCCCCTCTCTTTCCCAAAGAAAATTGCCACCTTTTTTCAGACTTTCATGGTCCTCAGATAAAAGGAAGTGGATAATTTGGGCAAAATAACCAATGTTGGCATTTGTGTGGTCTCCTGGTGAGAGTTGGGGGCACCATAAGGTACCTCTTGTTTTCTCATTCCTCATCTCAATGTTGAGGTGTCCAGGGGCACACCCTAGTTCTCTGTGCACCAGCTAGTAGCTTTAATGTTAAACTGATAAGAACAGATACCTACACTTGATCTTAGCCAAAAGTCTGAGAAGTGATATTAGCGGTTTTAATGAAGGTAGAAAATGCCCCTGTTCTAAGCTCCTTCTTCACTAGTATCACTTTTGGCTATTTCTGGAGTAATGATAGATAGGAAAGGATGGTTGAAAAACCAAATCCATTCATTCATATGAACCATATCTACAGTCAGACCAGAGTGGTTTTAACTTTTGCAGCCAATTGTCTCCTACAGTCAGTCCAGCCTCCCTTAAATCTGTTAAAACATGCCCCTCTGCACCCTCTCCCTGCCAATTCTGGGATTCTGCTTTTAATTGCCAGTTTCCTGGGACTGCTTTAGTAGTCAGAATGGAAAATTTAAAGTGTGTTCAACACTTTCTGGTGATCATAAGGAAGTTGCAAAACAAACAAACAAACAAAACACACACACACACACACACACCAAAAAAATCAAACATATAACCCTTTCCCCCCTTCCTACCCTCTTTAACTGTTTTTAGATCACAGTCTTTTTTTAAAAGAGTATATTTTTATTAATTCCAGAGAGGAAATGAGAAGGAGAGATAGAAACATCAATGGTGAGAAAGAATCATTGATCAGCTTCCTCCTGCATACCCCCTACTGGGGATCAAGCCCACAACCCCAGGCATGTGCCCTTGACCCAGAACCCTTCAGTCCACAAGCCAATCCTCTATACATTAAGCCAAAGTAACGAGGGCTGTTTTTAGATCACAAAGTATTTGGGATATTCTTGGATTCTCTAAAAAGAGTTTGTTTTGGATTTTCAAGTGTTCTTGAGTTTTTGGTTTGCTTGAGTAGAAAAGGTTCTTTACAACTGTCAAGTCCAATTCTTCTCATTGCATAGATGGGTAAACTGAGACCTTTAGATAGGGAGGGGCTAAGCTAGAATGATGCAGCATTTCAGTAGCAAGGCCAGGATCAACTAATCTATACTCTCTTATGTTAGGCTTGGAGAGGGGAAGATTGCTCTGGGGGTGGGTGGCAGAGGTGGTTTTTACCAGTAGTCTGTAAGCTATCTATTATTCTCTAGCCACCTATAACAATAGCTTGTTTTAAGAGAAAAGTTCTTAATTTTCTCTCTCTTACTCTTCTTATTTAGAGGGTCAATTTTGGTAAAATTTCTTCAGTTTTCTGGGTTTTTAGCCCTAGTTAAATAGGTCAGGGGAAAGATAATCAAGTGGTCATTGATAGCACCATCCATGTCAGCAGACATAAAGCCCAGCTCCTTGAAGTGTTTGAAGGCTTCTGAGTCTGCATTCAGCTAAACTTTAACAGGGGCTGTGTGGACTGTTTATTCTCCTGCCATTCCTAGCATTGCTTGAGCCACTCGAGTGGCACTAAAGGGGTACTTGGTGAATAGGAGGAAAAATCTCAGTCTTTTAACCCTTGAACTAGCCTTGCCTGCAGACTTTAGGGCTGGGAAACAGATCAGGAATGGAGGTTATGTGAGAGAAGGATCCTGTACTATCCACTTCTTTGGTTTTCCAGTTTACTAGGCCCTTTGTGAAAGCATAGATGATAGAGACAGACAGAGCAGGGACCATCTTGGAGATTTCCTTTAGGCTTCTTCTTGAATAGCCCTCTGGGCACAGAGGGGATGTTGTGGCAAGAGACCTTTTATGGGACCCTTGAAGGCACCAAATAATCTATGCTCTTTCATGTTAGGCTTGGAGAAGGG